GCACGGCTTGCAGCAGCTGGACTGGCAGCAGCAGGGCTGGCAGCAGCTGGACTGGCAGCAGCAGGGCTTGCAGCAGCTGGACTGGCAACAGCAGGGCTTGCAGCAGCTGGACTGGCAGCAGCAGGGCTTGCAGCAGCTGGACTGGCAGCAGCAGGGCTTGCAGCAGCTGGACTGGCAACAGCAGGGCTTGCAGCAGCTGCTCTTACAGCCCCCACAGGACCCACAGCCCCCCTTGGAGCACCCACAGGATCCACAGCCACCCTTACAGCCCCCACAGGAGCCACAGCCCCCCTTGGAGCTTCCACAGGATCCACAGCTCCCTTTGCCACAGCTGGAGCAGGAACAGGCTGGCACACAGCAGCAGACAGGCTTGCAGCAGCACACGGGAACGCAGCAGCAGCTGGAGCCACAGCCTCCACAGCTGGAGCCACAGCCCCCACAGCTGGAGCCACAGCCCCCACAGCTGGAGCCACAGCCCCCACAGCTGGAGCCACAGCCTCCGGAACAGCCACAGCAGGTCATGGTTCTGGTGATAGAGGTGGAGAGGTGAGAGGAGCAGCTGGAGGGGGAGGTATGTAGATGTGGAACCTTTGGCCTTAGGGCCTTTATATACCTGCCCAGTTCAGGTGTCTGCTAGACACGTGGTCACTTCCTACTTCCTGTTTGTGTCCAAGGACCACAGATTTCCTTTTGCATTGTAATTTCTGTAAACTGTGTCTTCATTGTGCCTTTCCCAAGATGTCTCCATAGATGTCTCCGGGGAATGCTGTTCCTCAGCCAATATCAGCGAGGGCCCAACAGGAGCCTCCCCTTTCACTGGGGTGGTTAGAGGCACAGCGAGAACAGTGACTCAGGCACTGTGATTACATTTCTTGTGAGTTGGCTCTTGCACATAACACATCTCAATTTTTTCTCTCCCTTTTCCCCCACCCTTTCTCTCCCTGCCTCTCTTGATCCCCTTCTTGGTGGAAAAAGCTCTATATTCCTACTTCCTGTTATCTCTTTTTCATTTTGCTCTCAGTTATATTTTGGTCTTTTTCTATATGAGAAAACATGCCGTATTTAAACTTATGTGTCTGACATATTTATTTATTTCACTTAAACTTCTGGTTTCAAAGTGCACCAATTTTATTATGAATAACTCATTTGTCCTTCTTTACGGCAGAGTAGTACTTCATCGTGTATAAACGCCATGTTTGCTTTATTTTGTCATCTGTCGGTGGACATAGAAGCTGCTTCCAAGGCCTAGCTCTTACGAATTGTGCTGTTACAAAAGTGGGGGTGCATGCATCCCTGTAATATAGTAGCTTTTTCTCTTTTAAGAAAATACTTAGAATGGAAAATCAAACTAGGTCACAGAACTAACAAAAATGCTTAAAACAAAAACATTTAACCTGCTGGAAGATAAAATAGATAAAAATCTTGAGGACATAGATGTAGGCAGGTACTTTCTGAAGAGAAGCTAATGGCACAAGAAATAGTGTCATGAGTCAACAGAGAGAATCAGATTAAACTGAAAAGTTTCTGCACAGCCAGGAAAGAATCAATAGAATCAAGAAACGACTTACAGAACAGGAAAAGAAATTTACCAATTATTCATCACAGCACTAATATCTAGAACATAAAAGAATTTAAAAAAAAAAATCAGACCCTCCCCTCCATAAAAAGACCAAGGCAGAAATGAGCAAGTGAAATGAATGGATACTTCTCAGAAGTACAAACAGCCAATAAATATATATATTTTTTAAAATGTTCAGTATCGCTGGTCACTAGAGAAAAGCCCCAAATCCTTCCCAGCATGACACCCGTGCACAGACACAAGGTCTCCGTGCTGTTTCCACCACCACCGCGCGGTGTCGCTGTGGGGACCCCTCCCCCCACCGGCTTCCGCAGTGGCAAAGTTTGCGAGGCGTAGGTGCTCCAGAAGGCCTCGCTAACCAGCACGCCTTTCTGCCGCCCAGCAGGGTGGGGATTTCCGCCTCATGCCATTGTCAGCCTGTGCGTCCTTGCCGCCCGCTCAGTCTAGCCAGCTCCCTGCTGCTGTACTGATCTCTGATGGCTATTCAGTGCTTAAGCTCCCCTCTCTCTTCTTACACTTGTACAAGTTTGCCGTGTCATCTGGGAGCCCTTTCCACGTCGTTTTTTAATTTGCTCTACATCTCATCCATTTGCAGTAAATTTTTGCTTACTGGATTATGTATTCACACTAGGGTATCCCTCCCTTCCTCCCTCCTCCTCCCCTTCCCACCCTTCCTCTCTCCCTTCCTCCCCTCTTCCTCCCTTCCTTCCTCTCTCCTTCCACCTTCTCTCCCTCTTTCTTCCCTTATTTTCTTTTTTCTTCTTCTCTTCCCTTTCTTCTTTCCTCCTTTCCTTCCTGCCATCCATGTTTCCTTCTCTCTCCCTTCCTTCCTTCCTTTCTACCTCCCCTCCCCTCTTCTTTGTGATGTACTTGTGTTTTTATCTGAACATCCCTTTCTGCCCTTTCAGGTCTGGCAGGTTTGTCCAGACCTTCTACTTACACGGAAAAGAGAAGGGTTCTCCTGCCTCCCTGCACAGAGCTACAGTACTGGGGGCTCCGACCACTTCCCACATGGGCCTCCAGGCACTGCAAGTTGGGGAATGCCAGGACCCCTGGGTTCCCCTCCACTTCTCAGGGGACATGAAATGTGTCGCCTGGGAGATGTGAGTTGTGCATGGCTGAGCACACTTATGGTCCAGTGCCTTCTGAGGGTGGGAGGTATAAACCAGCTCCTGCAAATGCATGACTTAAGCCTGTCTCTGTCACCTGTATAGCTATTCATTTTTGTGCCATCTAAAGCAGTTGGCTACGCAGGTTGTAGATGACAACTAAGAAAAGGGGAAAAGGCTGTGGGATAGAACAGAAGACCCAGGAAGAGTCCTAGAAGAAAGGACAGATTCTTTTTACCACAGACCCTGGGGAAACTGGATATCCACATGCGGAAGATGGAAACAAGTTGTCTGTCTCTCACACTGTACTAAAATAAAATCAAAGTGGATAAAAGACCTAGATATAAAAACAGAAACTTGAAATTGTTGGAAGATAACATAGAGGAACACTTGAAGCTATAGGGACCGGTTGGTAAGGACTTCCTGGACAGAATTCCAATAGCACAGGAAATTATTTTAAGAACCAGTGAATAGGATGACAACAAATGTAAAATTTCTGGATGACAAATGAAATGACACAATGAGGTGACAACTTACAGAACAGGAGAAAGTTTTTGCTTGCTACTCTTTAGAGACAAGAATCATACCTAGAATATACAAAGAACTTGAAAAATTAACCCTCCAAAACCAAATAGTCCAATAAAAAAGGGGGAATTGAACTGAAAAGATATATCTCAAAAGAAATACAGATGGTCAATAAGGATATGAAAAAAATGTTCAACCATGAAAATCAAAAGAACTAGGAATCTCACCCTAGGCAGAATGGCTACCATCAAGGCTACAAAAAACAGTGACCCCTGGGGAGGATGTGGGGAAAACACATCCACATTGTTGGAAGAGATGTTAACTAGTGAAGCCAGGGTAGAAATCAGGATGAATTCCTCAGAGGAGTGAAAACAGAAGCTTCGTTTGGCACAGTTGTTTCTGTCCTGGAGATAATCCTGAAAGGATGAGACACCTTAGTGTAGTGACATATTTGTACCCAGATTGATAGCTGGTAAGTTCTGAAAACAGTCTAGGTGCTCACCAACAGATAGATGGGTAAAGAAAGGTGGAATATGTACAAAATGGGATATCATTCAGCTGTAAAGGAAAATCAAATCATGTCATTCCATTGAAAAATGAATAGAACTCACAATCATCACGGTAAGCAAAATAAGCCAGACCTGGAAACATCACCGTCACTTGTTTTCTCTTATATTATCAACATAAAATTTAAAAATCAATCAACAAGTAAAACAAAGGAGAGATGATAGGAAACTAGCTGGAAAGGAAGAAAAGGATAGAGGGAAAAAAAGAGAGAAAGGGTAAAGGGATTGAAAACTACCAAGAAATGTCATATGCATATATCAGTTCCCCAAAAAGAGCATCTGAGTTCTTTATTACAGACACTCATAGTAAAAAGTCATGAAACAAAAAAGAAAAATGAGAGGAATATAAAAACACACGGGGCTGGCGGTGTAGCTCAGTGATAGGGCACGGGCCCAGAAACCCAAGGCTCTGAGTTCCATCCCTACTATAACAAAATATTAATAAGAATCATAAGAGTAATAATAAAAATATAATATATTAAAGACATACCAAAATAATCGTGGAAAACAAAACAGATTCAGGGCAAGTAATTTATTCCATCAATTTAGAAAGCTAATTTTGTTTTATTTTGCTGGAATATAAATGTGTGCCACTACATCAGGTACACAGATAAAACAATTAAAGCAATAAGGGAGATACCCGTCTCTCTCTAGGAAATTAGTGAAGATTAATAAAACATAGTCAGTGTGCTGAAGTTGTAAAACTGACTGCCAAACATTATAAGCTGCCAGATGAGCTGAGAACAACAAAGGTGAAATAAACACATGTGACTCCCCAGCCTGGCAGACGGAAGGAACATTTTTAGACCTCTCTAGTCATATGGACAAAAGCTCATCCTGAGAAATTATATAAACACAAGGTTATATTTTCAAAGAAAGTAGAGGTGCACAGTTGGTTAGAGCAGATGGAGAGAGATCAATCAGGATGGGCCTTGTGGTAAACACACTCTTGATCTCACGCAGGGAAAGCAGAAGGAAGGAAGTCAGGTGAGTCTCAGGCTCGAGGACAATGAGGAAGGAGCCACACGTAGATCCTCAAGAAACTGAGTGCTGCATGGGGCAAGTAAGAGCCTGAAATCCAGCAAACAAATAAACACATCCCCCCAGCAAGTGCTGTACACAGCAGTGACTCAGTGAGTGAGGACTCAGAGAGACCCCTGGGCAGGTATATAAGGCTCCCAGGCAGGAGGAGCCACATCTACACACCTCCCTCCTCACCTGCTCCTCTCACCTCTCCACCTCCATCACCAGAACCATGACTTGCTGTGGCTGTTCCGGAGGCTGTGGCTCCAGCTGTGGGGGCTGTGGCTCCAGCTGTGGAGGCTGTGGCTCCAGCTGCTGCTGTGTGCCCGTGTGCTGCTGCAAGCCTGTGTGCTGCTGTGTGCCAGCCTGTTCCTGCTCCAGCTGTAGCAAAGGGGGTTGTGGCTCTTGTGGCTGCTCCAAGGGTGGCTGTGGCTCTTGTGGCTGCTCCAAGGGTGGCTGTGGTTCTTGTGGCTGCTCCAAGGGTGGCTGTGGCTCCTGTGGGTGCTCCAAGGGGGGCTGTGGCTCTTGTGGCTGTTCCAAGGGGGGTTGTGGCTCCTGTGGGGGCTGTAAGAGCAGCTGCTGCCAGTCCAGTTGCTGCAAGCCCTGCTGCTGCCAGTCCAGCTGCTGCAAGCCCTGCTGCTGCCAGTCCAGCTGCTGCCAGCCCTGCTGCTGCCAGTCCAGCTGCTGCAAGCCCTGCTGTTGCCAGTCCAGTTGTTGCAAGCCCTGCTGCTGCCAGTCCAGCTGCTGCCAGCCCTGCTGCTGCCAATCCAGCTGCTGCAAGCCCTGCTGCTGCCAGTCCAGCTGCTGTGGCCCTGTGTGCTGCCAGTGTAAGATCTGAGCTTCTAAGCTTAGATGAGCCAGCCACAATTCAAGGCTAACCCTCTCTGTTGGATGAACCCAGCTGTGCCTCCCACTTCCTAAGTAGAGCCCGTGCACTCACGCACTGTCTCCTCTCAGGCTCTCCTCCCAAGTCACCCTCTGGCTCAATTGGCCTGCTGTTTCACTCAGCAGCCTGAGCACTGAACACCTTCTATCCTGCCTTTTGGTCTAGGAGAACCCTTCCTTTGGAGTCCCATTTGGAAAGATGTGGGGTAAAGATTTGCTGGAACTTTCTGTGGGCTATATACTATTGTCTCTTAACCTGAATGTTGCAAACCAATAAAACCACACGGCCACAAACCAAGGCATGTGTCTTGCTCATTTCTTTTTTTTTTTTTTAAAGATTTTATTCAAAGAGAAATAAATGCAAAACAGAAAAATGGTAGAAGTAATACAGTGTTTCAAAAAAAAACAGTAAGAAATCATTACTTGATAGATTACATACTGTCATCTTCAAAGTCACTGTTCAAGTTACACAATTAAAGCATACAAAGTCGACATTTAAACAGTGAGACTGCAAACCGTTCTGTTCAATGATCCAACAAAAACTTGGCAATGTGGTTATTTGTTTTATATACTTAAACATACATGTGGTTATATCCTTTAGAGCACTTTCTTTTCCTCTTGTTTTATAATAACAATTACACACTTTAGGTTTTATTACTCCTACAGTTATTATTACTTTGTTTTAAGAGAATAAAACCAAATGTGACAAAGCAAAATGAAGCCAATAAAAACAAGAATAGACGTAGTATATGAGGTAAAAACAGAATATAAGGTGATCAACAATGGCTACTACAATGCCTCTTGCTATCTTCAAAAGAATTGCCCATATCTTAAAAAGGGTAAGATTAAACATACCAAAATGAAACAAAACAGATCATAAGTAAAAATATTTAAGAAACACTAATTTCAAAGCAAGTTCATTGGATATCTTCACTGTCTGTCTTATTGTCTCTAGTTTTCTTCCAAATAGCTGTCCCCCTCTTCACACACAGTAAATACATACTGAACATTATAGCACTAATTTGATCATAATAGGGTGATGAAGGCTTTTTAGGTCTTCAAGACCTGCCATTGGGAAGTCAATAGTGACTGCCACAATGTTCCTCATTCTCTCCATAGCAGCTGTCCTTATCTTTAGGTACACTGAAATTGAACATAAGAGACTAGACTAGTATCACTCTGAACAGTGAATAATAGTTTTGCTCGATTTTATATCATAATGTTACAGAATTAGCACTGGGTTTCTTAGTGTCTCTTCTTCAGTGTATCTGTTGATTGCATTGTGCATTATATAATCTGTTTCCTGTAAACTGTTTAGAAATTCTCCCCATGTGTGAATGTCTACATGTATATCTATCCTGTCTGTATTATAGGTAAAAACAGATCAAAACAAGACAAAAAACAACCCAAATTCTTAGAAAAACATAAAACGAAAAAGACATACAAAACCACATTATTAGATGATCTATAGTAGTTACTATGCTTTCTCTTATTATTTTCAATAAAGTTGCCCACATCCTCAGATATAGAGTAATTGAACATAGCATTATATAGCTATTTTAATAAAAACACAACTCTGGAGACATTGTAGGACTTCAAAAGCAGTTAATAATCAAACCAGAATGGGTATGTGATTACATCTTGTCATCTTCAGAGTGGTTGCCTCTACTCTTAGACTCGATAATATCAACCATACCAAATTCGAATAAAATCAGTCAAGGCAAAACAGCAGTTTAACAAACCAGCATCAAATAAGACCAGTCTTAGTAAGACAATGTAAGTAATACAGGGCTTCAGTTTAAGTTAATAGGAAATTAAGAATAGTTACCATGGCATAGCTTGCTACTTTGGGGTTAGCTATCTGTGCTCTCAAATCTAGTAAGAGTAGACTGACCTGAACAAAATAAAATCAAACTAAGCAGAGCGATAAGATTATTGTGGCTTTTAAATCCTGATACACTATTAACAATGTCCTCTGCCTTCCTTTTTTAAGCAACTACTCACCTTTCTCCTTTTAGGTGCTTTGTATATTTTGGGTCCCACTAACTCCTTTACTTTTTAGATTAAGGGGGCAACTCGTTACCTACCTGAGTGGTGCTGAACATTTTTACCTCTGACCTTGATCTTGAGCTGTATTCTTTTACTTACTAAAGCCACAAGGTTTTCCTTCCTTCTAGCTTTGTAGTTCTACACTGCACAAAAGTGTCATAATTTTACAATCTATCTGCAGCTGCTGGATGTGTTGTCCCTATTTTCTCTGGTTCCCTGTCACTTAGAGCTTTGTTTTCTCATCTTTGACTTTCAGTTTATTAAGCTTCTTTCAGGTTGAGTATATTTCCTATTCAGAGCATCTCGATGGGTCCTGCCTTCTAATATACTCTGCCTGTGTTTCTTTTTGTTAGTATATCTAGGCTATCTATGTTAAAAATTGTAACCCATCTTCTCTGCCTCAACTCTGCTATTATTTGTCCATTTTTCGCCTTCAGTCCACTGTCCTCCTTGTTCACTGAGGCCTCTCTGCCACTGTTGCTGGAATCCTGGTATTCTCTCTCTCTCTCTCTCTCTCTCTCTCTCTCTCTCTCTCTCTCTAATATCCTTTAGTATTTTCTGTAGGGTTGGGTTGGTGGCCATGAACCCCCACAGTTCCTCTTTGTCTTGGAAACATCTGTTTCTCCATTAATTTTGAGAGAGAGATTTTCTGTATACATTAATCTTCGTTGGAGGTTATTTTCTTTCAGGGCGTGGACTATTTTCCCACAGGCTCTTCTCGATTTGAAAGTTTGTGTTGATAAGTTTGTCATTATTTTGATGATTTGTCCTTTGTAGGTGATGTGCTTCTTTTCTCTGGTCGCTTTTAATATTCTGTTCATGTGGTGGATTTCTAGAATCTTGATCATTGTATGTTTGGGTGTAGATATGTTTTGGTTGTAGTTGGCTGGAGTTCTGTATGCCTCATTTATCTGGATATCATTTCTTTTTCCTATTCTTGGGAAATTTTCCTTAGTTATATCTGTGAAGAGTCTTTGTAGTACATTTGTGGTTACTCCTGCTTCTTCGCTCACGTTTTTTATTCTTAAGTTATAAATCCTCTTTTCGTCTTCTAGCCTTTGAATTGTTTCTTCATGATTTCTTGTTATTTTTAAGAGGTCTTTTCTTTTACAATCACATATCATAAATCTCTCTTCAAGTTTAAAAAGGCTAAGTTTAGTTTCTGTCAAGGCATTTCATCAGCTTTCAATGGAGTTTTTAGTTTCCTGGTAATCCCTTTGGATCTGTTTCATGTATTCTAGATTTTTTATATTCTTCATCAAAGGTTTCTCTTCCATTTCTTCCATTCTTCCACCTGTGTTCTCTTGGGAGTGGCTTATCATTTCTTTAATTAACCTTTTTGTCTTGCCTCACCTGGATGAGAAGCACAGATTTAAATTCGCCTGTGAGGTCACACAGGTATTTCTTTATATCTGCTGATATTGTGTCTAATATTGCATTATTACTGCACTGGTTCACTTCTGTATTTACCTCTCCTGGGCTTATTTTCCCAGGGTCAGTGGCTGGAGTTTTTTTTCCTATCTCCTGTCATGTTTCTGGTTTCTTCCAGACAGGTGTGTCCTGGGGGTTCTCTGGCCCTCTCAGTATTGCCTAGCATCATTCTGAAGTATGCTGAAGCATGCTGACTGAGGTTTTGCTGCCCTCCCCAATTTGCTGTTATCTGAGGTACATGCAGGGACATAGGGACGGTGCAGGCTAGCCTCTTGTTCTGAAGCAGTTGACCCACAATTTCCTTCAGGGACTTAGGCTGTGCTATGTGGATGTCACAGAGTTGTGACCTTTTGCCCTGGCTACTGGGTGCCAACCAGAGGTGTAGCTCAGCCCCAGCAGATTCCACCAATCCTCTCTGTGCCAGGGGCGGCTGACGGATGCCACTTTGGCACCAGGCTCTGCCCAACTCCAAGACATCCTCCATCCAGCAACAGCAGCCATGGGACCCAATCCCCAGCACTCACCGGGAATCAATGCACTTCTCTATCTTGGCTCCAGTCCATGCTGCACTGTGTCCTCCCTCCAAGGGCTTGAGACTCAACAATTCCTATTATCAGCAGCCGTGGCTTCAGCTTGACCTTGAATTTCGTGACTCCATGGTACTCCCAGCACAGCACAGCCCAGTCTCAGTGAGTGCATAAGTTTCCAGCCCTCCACTCATGTTTTTTCTTCCTCTGCAGAGGTAGATTCTAGCTTGATGTGGTTTTTCCATGTCTAGAGCAGCCTTCTGCCTTTTTGAAAACTGTGGGGTGCCTGGCTTTGGCGCCCAGGAGCATGGTCTTCCCCATGGCCTCCTCCAGCACGGCCAGGCAGTTCCGGCTGTGCTGTGGGGCCCTGGGACCCAATTTCCAGTACTCACCAAGAGCCAATAAAGTTATCCACCTTGGATCCACTCCAAACTGCACCGCATTCTCCCATCAAGGGCCAAGGACTCATCGACGCCTGTTATTGGCAGCTGTTTTCAGTGCAACTTTGGATTGTCTGACACTAGCGCATGCTCAGCACAGCGCAGATCATTCTCAGTGAGTGTGTTGGCTTTAACCCTCCACCCGTAGTTTTTATTACTCTTCCTATTTTTATTTTTCCCGTTGGTTATCTCCTGGCTGAATAAGAATCATTCTCCAATTGTCTGGCCCTCCCCATGTTGTCAAATTCTAGCATCTGAGTTATTTTTCCCCACAGAGGTCTCTATCCAGCTTCCTATCAAGCTGCCATTTTTTCCAGTCAATTTTCTGATTTTCTACAGATAGATTACTTTTGAGATAAAGGCAGTGGTTTGGCATCATTTCCTCATTTTGTCACATTGCACAGCTTGAGGTTCTCTTATAGTCTTTCCTATACAGGCTGCTTCTTGTAGAAGTCACAGACAGCAGCCCATCCAGCTAGAGTCTTCTCCCCAATGTACTAGTAACAAGCACTTTAGCACCATGACCATTTCCTTTTTCCATGCTTGGAAAGTTTTCCTTAATTATTTCTGTGAATAGTCTTTCTAATTCGTTTGTGGTTACTCCTGCTTCCTTGCTTACATTTTTTAATCTTAAGTTAAACATCCTCTTGTTGTCTTCTAGTCTTTGAATGGTTATTTCTTGGCTCCTTGTTATTTTCAATAGGTCTTTTCTTTCATGAACACACACTGCAATTCTCTCTTCAAATTTCGAAAGGCTAACTTTTGTTTCTGTAAAGGTATTTTGCCAGCTTTCCATGGAGTTTTTAGTTTCCTGGTAGTCTCTTTGGATCTGTTTCATG